CCTGAAAAAGAGTTAATGACAAGTTAACAATACTCTGTGACCTTAATTACTTGATTAGAAACCCCCCCCCCAGCTCCCAGCAGTTGCCTGAAACTGACTAGATCTTAATCAGTTTCACATTGAAGGCTGTGCACTAAATGCACTAATTGGTCTGAAAATGAATTGTTTACAGGTAGTTCTCAATTTATGACAGCAATTGGAATCAGAACTTTTTGTCCTTTGTTACATGAATCATCATATGACTGTGCCCAAGTTTATGATCTTTTTTTGCTGCAGTGGTTAAGTGAATCTGGCTTCTCTCACTGACTTTGCTTGTCAGAAGCCAGCTGAGAATGTTGTAAATGGTGATTGGGTTTCCTTTCATAAATACATGCCAGTTGCCAAGCACACAAATTGGGACCACACAACCATCAGGATACTGCAACAGCAGTAACTGCAAGGACTGGTTGTAGGTCTTTTATTTTTTCCTCCAGTGTCATTGCAATTTTGAATGGCCACTAAATGAAAAATCATAATTCAAAGACTACCTGAATTACCTTTATTATAATTACCGTTATATTTGTGAAAGGTTGCTATCCAAGGCTGTTGCTAAGTGAGAACTTTCTGTATTAATATTCTCTTAGCACATGCAAAGGTTCATGATAACAAAATGCAAATGTACAAAAATCCTGCAGCTCCAAGCATAACTTTTATGGTAAATATACAGTACTTTTGTGGTAAATATACTGTTTGCAAAGTGTACTTAGCAATTTAGCAGGATAGGTAGGTAGGTAGATAGGTAGGTAGATAGGTAGATAGATTGATAGATAGATGGATAGGTCTATACTGGTAGATAGGTAGGTAGGTAGACAGAAAGACAGGCAGGCAGGTAGGTAGGCAGGAAGGCAGGCAGACAGACAGACCTTTTGGATGGATGTATGGATAGACAGACAGACAGACAGACAGACAGACTGCGACAGCAGCAGCACTTTGGGAAAGTAGAGCAAAGCCAGAGAGGGAATTGAAGTCCACACAAGGTTGAGAAACACGGGCTGAATATATCAACCCAGACATTCTGGTTAGAGTTTAGCATGCTATTTGATTCTGGCTTAGTCAGTAAACCATGGCTAAGATCTTCCTGTTCCTTAATGCAGCTGCCCCTCTGCCCCTTCTCTAGCCCCCTGCCCCAGTTTTTTCTTTGGCATCCAATTTTGCAATGCTCTGCCCGGGAAGAGGAAGCCGTGTGAAAGCAGCGCAGACTGGCAGAGGTGGAGGGAACGATCACTTGGAAAGCAAGCAAGCAAGCAAGCAAGCGCAGGGTTCGGTTGGAAGAACTGGGCTGCGGAGGGAGGCTAGGTTCTAGGTCCAGGCCGGCCACGTAGAGCCGAACCAAACCAAGCCATGTGTCTTGGAGAGCCACAGCTGAACCCACCCGCATCCTGCATGCAAGCCTGGCTGGCTGGAGAGGCAGAGGCCAGGTGGGCGCTGCGCGCTCCCTTGTTCTCCTCTGGGGAAGGGGGCCCAAATGCCGAACCACCCACCCCTTCCACTGTGCGCCTTGGGAGGGTTTTGCTTTTGGGCCTTCTGGTGCGCTCTGTCGCTTCCACTGTGGAGGGCAGCCTGCAAGCTAAGGCGCCCCCTTTCCACCACCTCCCACCTCTTCCCCCCCAGGCTTGGCAAGGCTCGCCGCGTGCGGGTTTCGCATTCGAGGTGCCGGCTACGGAGCGATGAAACAGTCAATGGGCTGCGTGACCGGCAGTCAGTGAGCCTGCTGGGCCGGCACCTCGAATGCCCCCCTGCTGTCTCTTAGCGCCCCCCTAAGGCATCCCACTGCCCCCCAGGGGGCGGTACCACCCACTTTGGGAACCACTGCACTAAACAGTCTGACTGAAAAAGAGAAAAGGGAATAAAATTCCCTCAGTAAAGGATTATTTAGTGTAGTGGAATATGGAAATAAAATTGTGGAACTGGAGTTTGTACGTATAGCCTAAATACTGTTGGCAACCATGTTGTACCCCCTTGGAAGAATTGCATACAAAAGTGTTTCTCTGAATACAGTTGTTTTGGCCTAAATATGCCATACATTTTCTAGTAGCATTATCAGGAGCTTGGGCAGAAATTCATATTTTGCCAAGTGTTCATAGAAGGGATCATAAGCTCCTAACCCCTCCACTGTCATTGTAAATACATGCTAATCTTCCCGGAAGAAAGGGACAGATAGACAGATGGTAAGCTCTTCAGCCCAATGTTTGCTGGGCTTTGAGAGAGAAAAAAGCAGCAGCTCCAGAGATATGTGTCAAAAATGGCAGGATGGCATACAAAACAACACAGCAATTTCATCCAACCACTCTGTTCACAGAGTTGATTTATAATAGCATAGAACAAGCATACATCCAAATGTATTGGATTATGAAAACATTGTCAGGTATAAAGATTTATTATATGATACTGGAGAGCTTAAAAATAGGAACCAAATACAAATTCAAGGAAAGGAGATAGCATGGTGGCCCTTTGCACAAATACAAACCCATTATAAAAAAGATAGAGAACAATTTGGCTTTAATATGACCCCACAAGAATTAGATAAAATATGGCTAGGAGAGGAAAAGAAAACAATTAGTAAAACATATAAATATCTTTTGGACTACAAATTAAAAGAAGAAACAGCCACAGAATCTATGATAATTTGGGCTAAAAACGTGGGTCATAGTATTGAATTAGATAAGTGGGAGCACATCTGGCAAACAAATTACAAATTAACCATGTCAGTCTTGTATAAAGAAAACTTATATAAAATGGTTCATCGCTGGCACCTACCTCCTGCGAGACTGGCTAAGATGTTCCCCAACCTACCACCCAACTGTTGGAAATGTAACTATGCTCAAGGAACATATTTTCACATGTGGTGGACTTGCCCATGTGCTCAGAAGTTTTGGAGAAATATTAGAAATTGGATTTTAAATATAACAAAACAAAATTTAAAACTTGAACCTGAAACCTTTCTGCTAAGTATGATAGATGTAAACATGGAGAAAAATATCAATATTTAATTTTGCACATCATAACTGCGGCCAGAATAACCTACGCACAAAACTGGAAACTGTCTTCCATTCCTTCAGAGGATATGGTAATTAAAAAAATACATGAATGTGCTAAGATGGATAGCCTAACCAAATTGTTAAAAAATAAACAAGATAGTGACTATTATGAAATACGGAACATTTGGTATGAGTGGTTAAAGAAAAGGTAATATTTGATATTTGGATAAGTTATGGAAATGACAGAAGACATGCATTTAATCATAAACTATATAGAGAAATTAAAACATTAAAAGAACGAAGGAGTTATTGTAACAAGGCAGATCACGTCAATGATAAAGATAAAAAAATTAACCATTGCTCAATATATGCTGTAAAATGTGTGTGTATATATATATATATATATATATGTGTGTGTGTGTGTGTGTGTGTGTGTGTGTGTGTGTGTGTGTGTATATATATATATATATATGTATATATGTATATATGTGTGTGTTGATTTGTTTGTTTTAAATGTATGTCAAATAAATGTTTTTTCTAGAATAAAATTAAAAAAAAAAAAAGAACAAGGGTGTCAAACTTGATTTCATTGAGGGCCACATCAGGGTTGTGTTTGACCTTGGGGGACTGGGGTGGGTGTGGCGAGGGTGGTCATGGATAGCTCAAGAATACTTGTTTTGGGGGAGCCTGTTGTGGCCCGAGCGCTCTGCCAGCGAAAACTAGCTCCCAACCTCTGTTTTTGGCAGGGACGGCCTCCTGCAACCTTCTGCCAGCGAAAACAGAGCTCAGGAGAGCCACACATAGCCGTTCTCTGGCAGAGGCACCGCGGGACAATCTTCACTGTTTCCAGGATGGCCCCACAGGCCAGATCTAAGCACCTCACGGACCACATCCGGACTCTGGGCCTTGAGTTTGGCACCCCTGGCATAGAAGGTAACTGCCACTGAACTCAATAAAGATGCACTGTTAGCATTCGTTTTCAGCAGACATTACTATACTTGGAACTGCAAATGTTTTAAAAGCTCAGCAGATGCCAAGATCATATGCAGATGCCAAGATCGTCTGCTGTGACATGCCCACAAAAATGCAAACAACGTTTTTAAATCTTGCCTTTTCTTTATCACGGAATGTAATACATGAGGCTCCTATGCAATCTCCCGTCCAAAACTGAAAGTGGTGGCATCATCTGCTCTCAAACCAGTTCCCAAAATAGTTCAATGGAATGAAGTGGGAGAGTTCTTTAAGATTCCATGTAAAGCAGCCTAGCAAAGATCAAATTATATTTAGCAGCTCAAAGTGCAGCGCTAGTAATTTCTTTGGACAAACAGGGTTTGCCAGACGTAACCCTCTATAGAAAAACAGGCCTCATCTGCTGATTGACTTAAATTCTATGGAAGCATCCAGAAGCTGAGATACTTCTGATGTGGAAGAAGCTAGTTATTTCTTCTTTCTATTTGGGATTTGGTTGCTGTGAATGGAATCCAGAAGCTGTGTTTCTAGGCAGAAAAATCTTGCACCCTGGGAAGATCCACACACACACCACAGTCTTATAAAGCTTTAAATAGAATAAATGTGGAACAGTGAACTTACCATGTAGAGTGACAAGGCATTTTTATCCCTCTTGTGACCCAGAGTTTTGGGGCTACCTGAGAAGGAGGGTTAAAACAGCCCCACCCTTTTCTTAACTGGAGATCTTATTATATTAAAAAAACAGAACTGAAAGCAAGTATGTGTGTGTCAGAGGTGGTATTCAGCAGGTTCTAACAAGTTCTGGAGAACCAGTAGCGGAAATTTTGAGTAGTTCAGAGAACGGGCAAATACCACCTCTGACTGCAGATTTTACAGTATCCTTTCCCCTGCCACCCCCACCAAGCCACGCCCACAGAACCGATAGTAAAAAAAAATTGAATCCCACCACTGCTTTATTCTTATTTCTCAAAATAAAATCATACAAAACATAATGTTTCAAACTATATTTTATTATGCAGAATATATTTATCAAAAATGTTTACACCACCCATACATGATTCTAATAGTTATATCTTAGTTCTGCTTCAATAAGCAGGTATGCTCTGAAAGAAGAGGCATTTATTGTGAAGACACGAGACTATGAACGTTTTGAACGCTTAAAATACGGCCCCTTTAATACTGAAATGGCAATTATACCTCTTAGCTCTGCAAACAGAAAAAGTTACTTTTGGTAATTTTTTTCCATATGAAATATTAATTGCTCAGCAAAATAAAGCATGAATTAGTTTCCTTATTGTAATACTGTTTTGCCATTCCTTTTCAGTTTATCATATCATTGGTCGGGTTTCTTTTTGTACATAATGGGAGGATGATTCTCACAATTTTTATGGGGATTCTATAGTCCAACAAATCTGAAGTGCACCAGCTAAAAGGAGGCTAGAGTTCATTAATTCAGTTCATTAATTCAAAATGTCTTTACCCACATAAAAATACATTTATGCTTTATGACGCAGAATCTCTCTGCGTTTGATGTATACCTATTATAACTATTCTCATTCATATTTCTTCTTTCTAAGAACGTTTTGGCAGAATTAATGTGTCAAATTGCTAAAAAGAATCCACCAAGAAACTGAACATTGCACCAATTAAAACATAGGCAGATAATTTACTTTAAAAGTGTTATAAAAGCAAGAGCACCATTGCATGGGTATACTAAAAATATAAACATTTAATACAGAACTGCAAAATCTAGAGAAGACCAATTTTCTCCTGGAACATTTTTTTTTGCAAATAATATCAAAAAGTTTTCATCCATGAAGAACATTTTGAATATGAATCAATTAAATTATACAATCGGTAGATAGTATGTCAAATTTGAGATTTGGTCTATTTCCAAAAAATCCATTAAAAAAAACCATGCTAAATTGTTCAAAATATTATTTTTCAGTTTTTCATCTGCCTCTCTGAATAGCAATAGCACTTAAGACTTACCCTATATACTGCTTCACAGTGCTTTATAGCCCTCTCTAAGCGGTTTACAGAATCAGCATATCTGATGTTGTGCTTTCATTTGATACGAAGTTCCCAGTTATTGCCAATGTTTAAGGAAAGTTTTTGAAGGGTCAGCACAGACTTTTTGGTATCATATGTGAAAGCCTCTGTCTTGTCTTCTTTTCCATCTGAATTGCAATTAAAAAACACACATAAACATTTATTTAAAGTAAGCCATGCATATTAATGTTGTCGTATTTCTGCTCAAAACAAAGTTGTAATCAAGGTTTCTGTTCTGAAGCAAATGATTCCAGAGTGAGCACTTGTTAGGACTATCTTCTGTTCTCCACTTTAAGTAAATGTTCTTGTGGTCTTTTGAGATATGTTAGTGAGATATGGGCAAGTTCAGGACTTACTAATATCCAAACATTCCTTCCAACCTGCTCTGCATAACAACTCAAACGTCTACTTCTAATGGATGAAGAAAAGCAGTTGAACTGCTTCGACAACAAAAGTAGCAGCACAAGCAGTATTGGCACTTCTTGTGATATTAATCTGTCATTGCTGCTATATAAACTGCATTAGCTCCAGTTGACTTCTGGAAGCAATTCAAGATGTTAGTTACAGTAGTACCTATCAATTAAACATTATCTTGTCTTTAGGAAACAATCCAGTTGAATGGAACGTATTAAAGAAAAATTTTGTTATAGTAAACCAAATCCACATTATTCTGTGTAGATCATTTAATTCAGGAATTGTCATCTAATGAGACCCAGGAAATAGCTACTTTCTGGAATATCAAACCACACAAGATTTAGTTAATCTCAACTCTGCTCACCTTTAGAAAGCCTTGAAGGGCTAGCATCAGTGAGCCCACAGAGTTGGCGAATTGTGTCTTTGGCAACTACTTTGTATTTTAGGGGAGTGTGAAATTTATTTTTGTATTGTTTCTGCATTATATTTTTTAAAATCTTTGTCAGTCACTCAGAGTCATATTTAAGAGAAAGGTGACCACATAAAACAATTAAAATAAAACAGACCCAGTTTCTTCCAACGAGAGAAATGCAATGCTGCAAATGATCTAGAGCAGTGGTGGCTAACTTTTTTGGGCTCCTGTGCCAAAAATTGTGAGCGTGCCAGCACGCCCATACTCGCGTGCCAGCACGCCCATACTTGCGTGCCAGCACACCCATAATTGCATGCCAGCACCCAGAATGCAATGCACATGCCCCCTCCCCATGCCCCCTGCGCATGCAATCCACACCCCCTTACCTGCACTGTGCCTCACAGCTGATTTTTTGGCTGGTCCCAGAGGCTTGGAAAAAGCCTCTGCAAGGCTTCTCAGTCTGAATTATAGGCCCATTTCATCACTTCCGATATTACAGGAAGTGATGAAACAGGCCTATAACTCGGCCTGAGAAGCCTTGCAGAGGCTTTTTCCAAGCCTCTGGGAGGCCAAAAAAGGCCTCAAACCAACCGAAAAAAAAATCAGCTGTGAGGCGCGGGCATGCGCAGTTAGGTAAGTTTGCCTGCGGCTCGTGTGTCAGCACAAATGGCTCTGCATGCCACTTATGGCACGTGTGCCATAGATTCTCCATCACGATTGTAGAGAGTCTAGAGTGGAAATAAATGAATAAGCTAGAAATTGGATTATTTCTGTCTCTTACCAAACATGGTTGTTGTCACAACAGAGGGCTTCTTTTTTATTCCCAAAATCAGTATCCGTTGAACTATGCATTTTGTCTGGAATAGCCCTTCTTCACTAGGACATCTGAGAAAACAAAGACAGTGTATTAATTATTAAATGCTGACTTCTTATGACAATGTTCCATAGGGAATATAGTACCTTCCCTTCTAAATGATGGCAGGAAAAAAACTGAGAACTTTTGTTAACTTGTCAAAATTTTGTAGACATGGTGCTACTTTGGAGCTGCCAAGAGAATCTCCAACATGGTGTACAGACCCATATTGTATACTCTTGGGTGGGAGAAGAAACAGGTACAAGTATCTCACTGAAAGAGAACCTGGCTGGAAGACAAGATGAAGGGGATTTTCTGGTTCTTCAACAAGCTGGATTCATACACCATAGTTGGAAAGGTTTGTATGATTTGCAGTGAGTGTGAGGTATATACGAGCAAATTACAGGTAGTCCTCCACTTACAACAGTTTGTTTAGTGACCAAAATTACAATGGCACTGAAAAAAAAAGACTTATGACAATTTTTCACACTTACAACTGTTGCAGCATTCCCATGGTCACATGATAACAATTCAGACGCTTGGCAAGTGACTCATACTAATGATGATTGCATTGTCCCCAGGGTCATGTGATCACATTTTGTGACCTTCTGACTAGCAAAGTCAACGGGGAAGCCAGATTCACTTAACAACCATGTGACTAACTTAACAACTGCACCGATTCATTTAACAACTGTGGCAAGAAAGTTCATAAAATGGGGGCTATATTCACCTAACAAATGTCACACTTAGGAACAGAAATTTTGCGCTGAATTGTGGTTGTACGTCAAGGACTAAACCAATCATAGTAAAACAAACCGTGATTCAAAATAGGTGAAAGAAAGTAACCCCAACCATTCATTTTTGGGACAAGGAACTGAAAGTTGCAGTTTGTTGGTCTTTAAAGTTGAAGTATAAAATTGATGAGCAATGCAAATGTAAGAGCCTATGATAATCAATACTTTCTGAATCTTCCTTCCATATTATATACTTTACCTGGAGGAGAGGACATTCTCATGGAAGCTGAATTTTCTGAGCAGGAACTGTTTCTCATGGAGATAATGAAATGAGTGGCCATCATCCAGGTATAATTTACCTGTTGCACATCCCTATACACCAGGCAAATCACAGAACTATTTTATAATCAAATTCACGATCATTCGGTGATCACAAGGTGCACAAAAACACATACAAAAACATAGACACTTTATTGGGAACGTTTATGATACTCCACAGCAAAATCCACTTTGCTTTACTTTCTTATAGTCTTAGTTATTGCTAATTAAAGAAATGAAAACCAAAATCATATTGACATTAAAATGGAGAATGAGAGATCAATACTGAAAAATGACACTTATTCATTTTAAATAACTTTATATACATTTAAAATTAACTGTATATAAATAGTGTGTACAAAAGTTTTAGAGGACCTTATCATCTAGGGCAGCACGCAGTTCATATGGAACATCTACCATCCATTCTGTGGATTTTCCTACAGAAATCTTTAGAGGTATAATAGTCCCACCACGCTGAAACACAGGAATCTGCAAAAAGAAAATAAATGGTGGCTGGATTCACACATTGCACTAAGACAATTATAGCTTATTAGATTAACCATCATTAGATGAGGACTCTAAACCATAAATCAAATCACAATGTTTCAGTTCATAAAATATACAAAGCCAAAGCCATACAAACTGTGGTTTAAAATATTGTATGAACCCAGCCAGTAAATAAGTACAATAAAATACTTTTTGGACAAAGGAAGTAGATAGTGAAATACTTTTTTGTAGTTAGGTCCTGCTTAGCATATACTATTTGATTCAGAACATTGGTAGTGACACATTTTAGATTTAAATCTTTATAAATTCTACATTTAAACCAATAAAGTTCACTAAATTAGAATTATCGAACCCCCTTAACAGAACTCCAGTTTTAATTAAATTAAAATGAATATAAAGCTTTTTAAAAAATTGTTAAAACAAACACATACATTATTCAATGTGACTGGGATCTTCAATATGCCATGACCTTCCAGACGTCTAAATTTTCGGAAGTCATACCAGATCTGTCAAATAATAAAAAGGAAAACAATTGAGCAGGAATTAGATTTCAGATACAGAAATCCCATATGAACCCTTATAGAAAATCAAATCAATAAATAATGCATAAATCTCAAATAACTTAGAAGTAGCAAACAACACATAAAATAGCATTAAGTTGAGAGTAGTAAGTTTTCACTAGGACAACTATAATCACTGAATCCACCATTTTACATTTTTCTCAAAAACTAGATGCACATATATTCAGCTCAAAACTCCCACTCAACAATTTAAGCAATTGGCCATAAACGGAAATCCAGAAAGCAAAATTGGTAGTCTTTCCAACCCTTCTCTGAGGTAGCAGCAGATTATCCTGATTTAGAATTAGCTAATAGAGTAGAGGACTCTTTACAAAAAGAGTTGCTTTTTGAAGAAGAAGAAGAGAAAATTGGCCCTAATTTTGAAATCCAAGCCTTATGAATAACCAGAGCTCTTTTCTGTTGGGAAAATGAGGCTGCTAGTTTTATTGGCAAAGTATGATAAAAATCTGGCTGCACAGAAAGCAGTTTTCATATTAGTATATTTTCCATCTGTTTCAAACAGAGGAGGAAAGCGTATTATTGTTGCTGTCTAGTTGAGTTCCCAGAGATTTTGGAAGTTGAAATCCAACATTGTCTGGAGCGCAAAAAAATTGCCTATCCTGAAAAGTAACCATGAAAAAGAATCTGAACTTTTCCGTTGCTGTCTCTTTTAGTAGGTGAGAGGTGTTTCCTGGATTGAGCAGGTTCAAGCTCTAAAGGGCTTCAAAGAATCAAAGCCTTATGTTGAACTAGGCCCAGAAACAAAGCGGCATTGTCAAAAGCTTTTCGAATTCAATACTGATGATGGGTGTAAGGCATTATAATGATTGCCATAGTTGATACCTTATTCAAGTATCAAGGAAAGCATTGTTTGGGGAATCACGATTCTTTATATCTCCAAGATTATTCTAGAAAAAATATAGCTCCATGAACAATTTAGTTAATACGTTATCTAGAAATTTATTTTTATTTATCAAACTTACGCACCACCCATCTCATTATCTAAGTGACTTGGTAAATTTACGGATTAGAAGCATATAAAAATAGTTAGTAAGACAGAATTAAAAACAGAGTTAAAAATAAACTTTAAAAAGGGGAGGGAGTTCTCTCAAGCCACCAACCACCCCCAGGACTGGATACCATTCTTGGATCCCTACGCTCATTGGCAGAAAGGTCTTAATGCTCTTCCAGAAGGCCAGAAGAGTAGGAGCCACCTCACCTCTGGGGGCAAGATGTTCCATAGGATGGGGACAATGACAGAGAAGCCTCTCTTCCTAAGCCCTGTCAGTCAAAATAATTTAACTGTTTGGGTCCATGCCATACCCTCCCTGCCTGATCTAGAAATAGATAATATGTTACTGAAGGAAAATTAGTTCACGACTCTACTTTTCATTCTTATTGACTTTTTT